GAGCAGAACATTTATACTGTGACAAGTAAAATACCGTACTGTGTGAACAGTCTTTCTGAAATACAGCCCACTGCAAAAGGTGCATCTAGTAGTCATGTACGTGTCTATCCACAAGACAAGACTGCTTGTAAGTGCATACAAATACAAGAAGCATTTAAGAGCTTCTGTCTAGAAGTCTCTAAGAGGCCTGGGCCCAAGAGCAGCTCTAATTCTTTTGTATTTTTTATTTTTTTTTTAAACCTGTGTCCACTCTATCACAATAGATTCATCCTTCCTAGCTTGAGACCCCTCTCTGCCTCTGAGTCCATTAACTGTATTACAGCCATTTTGGCTGGATGCAGTTTTACCCAGAATTTTCCTCATTAGTTTCCTGCTCTGATCAAGCACTGCAACAGCAAATACCACATCACTAAGAGACGTAAAAAAAGAGGCAACTGATGTTACAGCCTCACATCCACAGTCAACACAGCAGGTGACAGACTAAGAACTTTGTGGGTCCCAATCATAAAAGTTTCAAAACAGGCTGACAGAGAGTTCTCAGAAGAGAAAGAACAGATCCATAGCATCTGTCTCAGCTAGGGACTGCAAAGTTAATGAAACCCAATCACTAATATCAAAGATTGCTGACAAAAAAAACCCACTACAGTAAGTTTTCATGGAGAGCGTGCTACTCGCAGGTTTCAATGTGTACTAAACACAGTATGCTCTTTGCCAGATACAAGTCTCTGTTAATAACCAGAGCTTAGTTTTTAATACCCTAAGAGACACTTTCAAGTTTTAGTTTTTTTTTTTAAACCAGGCCAGTCTAGTCACAGTGCCAACTGTAGAACTGATTTATTATTGGCAAAATCACATGGTAATTTTATTTAATAACAAGGTGCTTCAGTACACATCAGTGGAAGTTAAAGGCACTATGAGGAGAATGATGGTGGGCATGTTTGCTGCAAGATAGGTACAGATGGGTATAGATCCTCAAGAAGCTTTTAAAGGTTATTTTGTCAAACATGGCCCATTGCAGAATTGCTCTCGGATTGGTTCAGTAGAGGAAATAAGTATTCATTTCATATATCTGCATGGCCAAGCTCATCATCTGTTAGGTGTTTTGTACAGAAGGATAGGCAGTCTACATGCCAACAAACTTGCCACTAAAATTCTTGGAGTTAAAGTCTAAAATTCTCATGTGTTACTAAGCATAAATACAATTGAGCAGGTTTCCTTGTCCTTTTCACTTAGTTAATGATGGACTTGTGTTTTGTTTTTTAACAGCATATCACTGCAAGTGTGTGGACCCGTGGCTGACAAAAACAAAAAAAACATGTCCTGTATGTAAGCAGAAAGTGGTCCCTTCTCAGGGGGACTCTGACTCTGAAACAGACAGTAGTCAAGAAGAGAATGAAGTGTCTGAAAACACTCCCTTGCTTAGACCATTAGCCTCAGTTAGTACTCAGTCATTTGGGGCTCTGTCAGAATCTCATTCCCATCAGAACATGACTGAGTCCTCAGAATATGAGGAAGATGACAATGACAATATTGATAGCAGTGATGCAGAAAATGGAACAAACGAAGAAAGTGTAGTGGTCCAACTGCAGCCCAATGATGAAAGGGAGTACAGAGTGGCAAATACTGTCTAAGACTACTAATGATGAATAGTGTATGAACAAAAGCATTCTGAAGGCTATACTTCACAAACCTTTACATAGGGAATATCTTTTAATCTCTAATCCATTTGGTTTCTTCAATAGGAGCAGCAGTTCATGTAGTAGTACTATGGTTAAATCAGTAGAGATTTATTTCTGACACAGGTATTCAGTCACACATTCTGTCTTCTCAAAATGAACAGTTTAACTGGACTTCACAATGCTAATAAATAATGTTAATGGTTTGTATCAATAGAAATATCACAGACTCTAAATGTATCTTGTTGAAATGGGGTTTATCTGGAAGTAATTTTTTTTTCCATTTTGTAGCTACAACTGGGTCATACTGATAGCAATATTTATTACATGTATGGTATGTGTTACCCCTTAAGCCCAACAGAACAACGTATTTGCATGTTTGTATAGAGTTTTCCTAAAAACTGTCATCACTTCTGAAAGAAAAATGTAGAACAGATTGATATTCTATATGGTGGTAATATGAAAACAAAGCAGAAGAAATTCCACTTTTCTCTCAAAGCAGATTCCAAACTGTGGAGTTTGCCAAAGTAGCTGAGTTTAAGCAGTTCCATTGAGCAATTCCTAGCATAAGGAAACTTAGAATATATGTTTTGTTTTGAGTAATTCACAAGATAAGATCCACCATAAATAGATTAGCTATCCTTTCCTGCTACTGTGATGTAGTCTGGTTTCCAGTGATGATGGGGGGGGGGGGGGGGGGTGTGAGGGAGAAGAAAAGGGGCTGGCCAAAACAGAGGTTTTGTTCTACATCAGAAAATAATTTAGGTAAGTATTCTATTGATCCTCAACTCATATACCTCTTACTAAAGAGCATTTTATGCTGCATTAGTCTGCTAAACTATGTATATATAAAAAAAAATTCTTTTCGAATACCTGATTTGAAAACAAGTGCTTATAACTGTTTAACAGAACTCAGTACTTACCAGTGTATCATGAAAAAAGTAAATGTTATATAATACCTCTGTAACTATGTAGAAAGCAAAAACACACATATACTCAAAATGCAGAGATTTTTTTTACATGGCCTTGAATAAGGAAAGCTTGAAAGAATGTTAATAAACATGTTTTCCACTTTAAGTATCAAAAGGAATTTATTGAACTTTTGCATTACTTACATTCATGGTGTAGTCTTCTATATTTATTACTAAGGTTAAAGTATTTTTAAAGATCCAGAACATGCAACTATTAAGATTCCTTGGTAAGCAAGCAGCCTACACTTCACTGTGTATCACAGCACAAAGTGCTGGACTGAGCAGTACTGTGTGCAGGAGGACCAAGTTAAACAGAAAACCTTCACTGTTGTTCACTTTTAGTCAGAAGTTTTGAGTCTGGGTCTGTACATGTAATTTGTGTGGGGGAGAGGGAAGGAAGACCAGGGTGCTGTTAGTATTTCCTGCCCATCTGCTGACACCTGCAGAGCTAGTCTGTGAGCCTGTGTTCCGGAAGTCAGAAAACACTGAACCCTGGACTGTGGCGAGTACAGGTGAGGGGTTTCCATTTGTTTTTTCTGACCTAACACACCAAGCAGCAACACCCTCCTTGCTTCAGCCTGGCAAAGGAAATCAGTTCTCTGGGACTGGGTAACAGCAGAGAAAGTTTGTTTTGCAGAATGAGACATGGAAAAGGTATAATAACGGAAGAATGACTCATCTTCAAATCACTGCCACTAGCAATCCATGGGGCTGATGACAAATGGTGTATTGTATTTTCACTATGTAAAATTCAACTTTCAGTGTGTGTATGCCTAGTTAAGTCCCAGTGTGAAAACTTACTGAGCTGAAAGATGTTTCTTAAAATGGGTTCCTACTGTTCAGATGTTGTCAATGCATTCACAATTGTATTTCAGGCACCCCAAAGCTAAGTGGTGCAGTCCTGCTAAAGGAGGATCCATTGCAAAAGGAGGATGATAGGTGTGCAGGACTGCACAGGGCTTGGGTTCAGCAGAAAAAACAGTTACGTGGAACTTTGCAATGTCTGAACCAAAGCATTTCACTGTATTTCTTCTCATAACTTCTTCAAGAAGAATACTAATGCAGATTTATGACCTAGATCATGATTCAGTGCTCAGACCTTTAGCACGGGAAAATAATCCTCAGTATTTTAAATCATCTGTTGATACGGAAATGTGAAATTTATCAATGTTATTCAAGGAATATACTTTGCACAGACCCTAGCAAACTGGGTACACAGACTCCATTCTGCTGTGGAAATGCAACAACAAAAGTATACAGGTGACATACAGACACCTACTCAGGAGAGGGGGATTAATCAGAAGGGAACAGTGTTAATAAGGAATCTGGTGTGTTCTGCTGGTGGCTATTCCTGCCTCGGAGGTGCCATTACAGGTAAACTCCATCTGTGGGCCTACTACAAAAAAAGCTCTGGGGAGTGATCCTCCCCCAAAAAAAGTTCTGCAGTCAGGATGTCAGTTGGATTAAATTGGGTTTAGACAGTTTAGATACAGAGCAAAACAAGGATTGACACACATTTAAGGGAGAAATGAAAGGTCTGCAACCTCTGTACTCTTTACTACCAAATGTAAACTTATTTGGTGCTATGAGCTTTTTCTTGTCTGTTCTAACTTTAACACTAGCAGCTGGAAGGCAAGTTTTGACACCAAACAACTGGAGCACTTGGAGAAGGCAAGACCTTTTGTATACAAAGGTTTTAGGTTAGGTTGGGATCTAGTGGCAAGCAAAGGAGCAGATACAACATTCACACTGAAGATGTAGGGGAGAACAAAGACATTTTAATGGTCATCTCCAGGCCGCAGGGAAGCAGAGTATTAGCTAACCTCCTGTGGTCTGGGCTTTTCTTTCTTTTGCAGCCCCTAAGCTCTCATTGTCTTATTGCATCTCACCAGTGCCGTGTTAGTTCACAGGGCCCACCTTGGGTAGCAGAAGCGCCAAAAGCCAGGCAGAATTGTTTTGGGGTGAGACCTTAACTCTGTCCTTTCTGAGGGGAGCATGTTCTTACCCTGTGGAGAGCTGACCTTGGTTAGACTGCAACATATCCTAATGTGTCAATAACATGGCAAAGATCTCTAGCTTTTGTTCCAGGGGTTGTACATTAGGTACCCATGTGGCAGGGGAAACTCTAAACCTAATCAGATAAACATGGAGTTCTGTGACAAGATATCATCTCACTTAAGGTGATTTACACCAGAGAGGGACTGGCCTTTGACTAAAGAGGTATTATCGTACTATTGCTGTCTTACAAAACTCAGAACTGCACCTACATCTAGTATCAGTGTAGTCAGCCATGCAGTGAAGAAGGGCCTCAGTGGATTTCTGTTAGGAGGGGAAAAATTACCAACAGTCGGAGTTTGTTTGGTTGGAATAAATTTATTTCATCTGTCTGTAAACAAGGTGTTTTTAATAGTTATGGCATTTTTTGAAATGCATATTAAATCAGATGAGTTAGACTGTATCCCAGATGTAACAAAGTGCAGGGAAAGAAATGGACAAATCAGCAACAAGAATTCATTTAAATCTGTACATTATCCACAAGGCCCAACAATAGAAGCAAAGACTAGAATGTCCCTACAGTAGTGCCATTCGAAAGAAACCCTCGTAGTCAGTTAAAATCCATCTCACAATAGCAACAGTTCATTTTTTTTTTTTAACAATAGTATGGCACAGAATACATATTAAAAAAATTCATCACAAGACAGCCAAGTCAGTTATTCCAACCAATACCATCTCCCATTTATTCTTTTGTATACAGAGTTCTGCAGTTCTCTTTAAATGGACATACAAGTTAGTACCGTGTCTGAACTGAGAGTTTGGTTACAGACATTTCAGATGACTAGTGCACAAGGCAGTTCACTCCATCATTTCTGCAGCAAGGGTGTGACAGGCCAAATGAAGATTTAAAATTTGAAATGGCATCATTTTGACAGTTTAGCTTTCAAACTACCAACCTTCATCCAAACAGTGGCTTCAGAGCAGCAAAACTCTTTACCAGTGAGTGATCTGGCAGAAAGACTGGAGTCAGTCAGAGCGCCCGGTGTAGCTGAAGGTGGCAGTTTTCCACAATGACATTGTAGTTCCATATTAAAAAAAAACAACCAAAAAAACCCCCCAAGAAACAAACCCCACCAAAAAAAACACCAACCCACCCCATGACCCCCCAAGCTGCAAACTAAAATTGGTCCTATGAAAAACTGAAACCAGACACACTCCAGATGGTTATGTTGGGCTATCTAATGTCCATAATGGCAGCCTTTTACAATTCAACTACAGAACAGGAGCTGGCAAAAAAAAAAAAAAAAAAAAAAAAGTGCCTGAGCTATTGCAACGATGGAATGTCTGTGGGGATCTGTTCGGGATGTGGCTTTAAGGTCATGGGAGGAAGTGCGTCTGTACCCTTTCTTCCACAGTTTTGTGATTGCACTTGTTAAGCAGTACAAGCTTCAGACATCATGACAAAAAAATAAAAAGACTTAAGCCTAGAGTGAAGTGCAACAACAAAACTAACAGAACGTTAATAGCTTCTGAGTCGCAACTTGGTTAAACAAACCAGGCACTATAAAAACGGGTGTGTGCAAACAAATGTGGAATAAAAAAATAAAGAGGGACAGAAGTAAAGATATGCATGCACTTTTTTCCTCCCAACCATGCTCTATGAAAGGAAGACTAGTGAGCTGTGTAATTGCTCAAAGTGCTGAAGAGGCATTGATCAAATTAGATTGTACAATCGGCACCTTGTTTAGTGTATTTAAGTTGTTTTAGTCGTCAATATCACACTAACTGCTAAGACAAAGCAAAGCCTACACTTGGCATATTCCCCTCCCAAAAGTTTTTCAAGGTATCATGCATATCATCTTTGTGGTGCAGTAATGGTGCCAGATATGGGACTTGGTTACATACAGTGGTTAACATATAAATGAACAAAGGGTAACTGGAATTATGACATTAGGAAATGGGTAAATAAAAAACACAAACTACCATCTACAGTCTGGTAGCACTGAACACAACTGGGTGGTGATGAAGAGAGTTGCTAGGTGGATGGGGAGAGGCTGCTTAGACGTCAGACCTCCTCAGGTATAAAGCCAGTTCATATGCTTTCTTGTTGAGTGTCCCTCCATGGACACCTTCCTTTCCCATGACTATAACCAATGCTGGAGTACACAAGGAAACAAAACAGAAATGAACAGAATTAAAGGGAAAAAAAAAAAAAAAGAAAACACCTTTCCCCACCAACAAAGGGATACAAAGGAGACACAGGTTCATACCCCATCACCCTGCATTGCTAATAAAGTTTCCAGAATGTAAGGTTTAAAGCTCACCGCCAGGAAAGTTTAATAGCAATCTTCCCCTAATACTTAACAGTCTGCCTAGCAACTAGAACCCAGAGTCTCTCAAGTATTTTGCCATTGAGTATGCCTTCTTATTCAATCCGCCTCCATGGACCCCTTCTTTGCCCATTACAAAGACCAAGACTGAAAGAGAAAAGAAAAAAGTTTTAAAAAGAGTGTGTTAGACAAGTAAATAATGCAAGTTTTAGGCAGTGCAATAAACACACTCAAATTCAAGATTTAGTATTTGGCTATAAAGCTAGTTTAACAGGAGTTTTGTAAAAATATAGATGTAGACAGGGCTGGGGGAAGGCATGAGTTATCCTTTGGAATATTATGTGACTACGTAAGTCGTAAGAGTTCACTGCTAAGAAAAATGCAACCAAGTATCTCAAAAAAGCATCACAAGTGCCTCTCCGTTATTGGCACCATCCGCCATCATCCAGCAAGGAAACCCTGGATGCATCTTTAAATTAAAAAAAAAAATGTTTTTCCCCAGAATTGCAACCTTTGAGCAGAAGCGGGAATATTTTTACATTCTTTTCTGCAGTGGTCACTACTGGTGTGAAAAACAGTAACTGCCTCAATACTAGCAAAAAAGCCATGCGGTCAGAGAGCTAAGACTTTTCACACAACCATGCAACTAGAAAACATGCTTTCTGTGTAAGACAGAACACAAGGAAAATCTCGGTGTTGACCCTCTCTCTGTTCCAGTTGTCTAGCGAACAAGAACATCCAAAGGCTTCTCAAGCCAGTAAACACCACTTGCGAGCTGCCAGCAGATGTCACCAGCAGGTACACAGACACAATAAGCCCTCTGCTTCCACAAGCACAGCAGTTGTTTCCCAAGCTAGGAATACTGTAACTGGAAATACTGCAGTCAGCCTACCTACAGGTGACTGTACATCTCCATAGCAATTCCCTCACAGAAAGCTTAAGACAAACAGTCCTTTGGTATTTCACAACCAGCAGCAGAACCATAACTCTGCTTATTTCACTTCAGTGCTGTAACTTTCTTCCAGTATTTTTGCCAACAGCTTTAGCCTACAGAGAAATTTTGCTCTAGTTTTATTTTTATACTTATAAGCAAAATCTTACCTGCTTCACAGCAAGGCAAAAAATGCTAGGCCAAGTATTTTGAACACAAAGGCCTGCTACTTGTAGCCAGTATTCTGAAGCATGTTTTTACATCCAAATCTAGTGCCTTCCCCATGATAGGTTTCACTAGAAGTGAGGAGCACAAGGAGTTGGTGTACTAGCATAAAGCAAGTTTCAAAATGATATCAAGTTGGATGAGCTTTTAGCTCACAGACTTCAGAGGGCTCAACAGGAATGCAAGAAGAGTTAGTGTAGAACTTGTTAAGAGCCGAGCAGGAGAAATTCACACAAGAACTCACATCTCTGCAGAATAAGCCTTCTGTTCAGAAGTTTACAACATTGAGAATCAGATTCACCTACTGATCATTGCTAGATCCCTACCATAGCTTTAGATACCATGCTACCTTATACTTGGTAGCTTACTTCAAGCTGTAGCTTGCTCTTCCCTGCTTGCCAGGGATCTGGTTAACCGCTTCCTAGCCTAATGCCCACGTGGGAACAGGGACAAGCGTGATAACCAGCCAAAGACCTAGCCAGCCAGCCAGACCACTGCCATCCACCCTCCTTGCATCACTTCCAAAATTAACCATTAAATACAGGAGCCTGGTTTACTTAACAGCATAAGTCTACGCTCAGGGTCACACTCTTAATTTAGCGAGCTGAGAGTGAAGAAAATCATGCTTACCTCTGCCAGCTCTGCCTACAGCAACATTGTACGTTGGCTCACCACCTTGACTCTTTGTCCTGATGTCCATTGTGCAGTCACCATCAACATACAGGCTATCTCTGATCACAGAGCACTTCTTTGCACCAAGGGTCAGACCGTTGGTGAAAAAACCCTCTCGGTCTTTTCCTACAATCATATCTATTTCTACTGGCTGTCAAAGAAAAAAGTCCAGAGTTAGCAGGGCAGTATTTTATTGTTTTATTTCTATACAGAAAACATCCTGTCTTGTGTTGAGACGATGAGACGGTACATTTCCCCCTGCTCCCACCAGGACGTCTTCCAGAACACAGTGCTTTGTTAGTCACAGTTTGCACTGCCCTGGTCTATTACCACTTTAAGCAGTGGATCCACTGCCCTGGAATACCTCATCCCAAATCTGCAGCGACTCTCGGATCCAAGCTCTCATTAAGGGAGGTGCTTCAGGGTTGAAACTAGCTAAGCACAGGACCCATGTCCTGGCGACGGAACGCACTAACCCTGTGGAACCCAAACGCCTACTGGCACTTATCCCCGAAAGATCGGCTCAAATGCCACCCGCCTGCACCGGCGGGTCAGGAGCTCGGTACTAGCCACACTGCTGAGGCGCCTCCGCACACTCGGGGCAGCTGGTACACGCGGTGCCCCTACGCGGCACCGCTCCCACCCGCCCGCGGTACCGGTCGGTTCTGTGGCCGCTGTCCACCCCCCTACGTGAGGGTGGAGAGCACCCGCTCCGGGCGGACAGCGCGGCCGCGGGGGTCGGGCGGCGGCGCGGCCCGGTGAGGCGGGGGGAAGCCGGGGAGGGCCGGGCCCTGCTGCAGAACGGCGGCCTCAAAGTGCAGCGTCACGACGGGCCCTGCCGCCCCAATCACGGCCCAGCACTGCGCGGGCGCCGCCACAGCCGTAGGCCTTGACCGGTCCCGCTCCGCTCCAGCTCCCGAACCGGGACCGGGCCCCTCCACACCTGGGGCGGGGCGCGGCTCTGCCGGCGGGTCGTTCCGGGCAGGCCGCGCTGCAACATGCCGGCAGCCCCGCATGGCCCTTACGTAACGGCGGCACGGGTTCCGCCCGGCCTGGCGGACGGCGGGAGCGGTGCGGATGGGAGCGGAGCGGGGCGGCGGCGGGAGCAGAAGCGAAGGACGGGCAGGGGTGGGGGGATGGGAGGGAGGAATCAATGGCAGTGCGCCATCTTGGCGATGAAAAACATGGAGCCAGCGGCGAGGTGGGCATTCACGAACGCCTCCTACGCCGCGCACGTAAGCCTCGCCGCAGCGCCGGGCCCGGGCGGCCCTACGCAAGCCCCACCGCGCACACCCTGCGCGGCCTCTCCCGCGGCCCCGCCGCATCGACCCGCGGCCCCCCAACCCCGGGAAGGGACCCCGCGCCCGCGGCGCCGCCGCCGGCAGCCACAGACAAAAAGGCAGCGCGGGCTCGCTCGCCAGGCCCGCCGCCGCCTTCCCCCGCCGCCCCGCAAGGTGCCCCCGTCCCTCGTGCGCCGCCGCCTCGCCCCGCCGCTAACGGCCGCGCTCGCTCCCACGGGGCCGGGCTCGCCCTTCCCCGCGCCCTGCCCTGCCTCCCCGCCGCCGCCCTTACCGTGATGCTCTGGAAGATGCCGCCGGCCGTGGCTGCCCAGACGTACTTCGCGTCGCAGTAGCCCACAATGGCGGCCTCCTGGCAGCAGCCATCGCACATCAGGTTGTCCACGTAGCTCTGCCAGCCGGCCATCTTCGCGCGGGCGGCGGTGGGGGCGAGCGGGCGGGCGGCGAGGCGCGGGCCAGGCGGCGGGCGGCGGGGCTGGGCGAGGCGGTCCCGTCCCTCTCCTCTCCCTCCTCACAGCGGAGCGGACCAGAGCGCTGCAGCGGGCGGCGCGGCGCGGCCCAGCCCTCCGCGCTGCCGGCGCCGAGGGGCGGAGGGGAGGAGGGGCGCGGCCCAGCACCGCCCCCCGCGCCGCCCGGCTCCGCGCGGCCGAGGCGGGAACGGCGGGGCTGCGGCGCTGTCTGCCGGGTGGAGGAGCGCGGGGCTGGCGGGAGGGCGTCGGTCGGCGGTGGGTCCGGTCCCGGTCGCGCCCGGCAGGTAGGTGCAGCGTGCCAAGGGTGCTCCGGCCCGGCGAGAGGGGTGCGCTCCCCGCGCTCCTCCGGACCCCTGGGGGGGTTGGGGTCCAGCTCGCCCTCGCCGCAGCACCTCTGGGTGACCGGCCTGTCCGTCGCCCTGAGCCCCGGTGTGGCAGTCGGCGCTGCCGCCGGGCACCGGCGCTTCTGCACGGTCGGGGCTGGGGCCGAGCACCCCTGCGCTGCTGGCGGTTTTGTGTGCCACCTTCCCCGTTTGCTCTGAGGCTGGGGGAGTGCGAACGGTGCTCTAATGTCCAAGGAATGGCGATGTTCTCATCTCTGGAAGCATAGTTGCCTAGGTTGCCTAGGTAAAGCTCTTCTACTCCTATGTTGGTAGTTGGCCATACTCTGCTGCCCTCCTTGCCCCTGCGAGCTGAACCAAAGTCCTTATCTCACAGGCTAACATCTGTTGCATTTTATTTCTGTGTGGTTTTGTAAGTGGCTGTTTCAGGTTTTATTCTTCCAGGTACCACCAGGTTGAAATAGTTTAGTTTCCACGTTTGTTTGTAAGATGTCCAGGTCTGATCCCAGTTTTTATGCTACATTGGTACTGGGCTCTGGGCAGGATCACTGCTTGGAAGACTGGCCTGCTGTAAGTTACAGAAATGTTCACCTGCAACATTAAGGGTGTGTTTTAGGGCAATGGCTCTGTCCTTAACATTGAGGTTGCGGGGTGGTAGAGTGGGTCACCTTCCTTTTGAGCAAGGTGGTTTTGCTTTACATAGTATCTGTTGTGATTCTCTGGGAAATAGGGACAGGTTGGAATGTGAAGTGGTGGTCCATGCAATTAACTTTGAAGCTTTAATTCAAGAAGTTAGATCTCATACCTGAATATGCCAAGGCATGGTATACAATAATTGAATCTGTCTTTTCTGAGGTTATACCCACCAGGAAGAATATTCACCACATATTTCTAATGAATATCCCTACAGCATGCTTCAGAGTGTTGTTTTAAAACCTATTTTGGTTGTCATGGGATTGAGTGTTGTTTAGGTAGTAATAGAGATTGCTTACATTACTAGATGCTTTAAAAAGCCCTTGTTTGCATCTTTTAGCTTAATTCTGTAAGTATCTTCTCTATTTTAATTTTCACAGTGCCTTTCCCACTCTGAATTTGGACAGCACCAGAACTTTGCTTTATTCTTTTCCAGCCATCCATGTGTAGCAAAAATGTCCTCGTGTCATTCTTGGTGACATGGTGTAGTGTGAGGCATTCCTGCCCATGGCAGGGGCCTTGGAACTATATGATTTTAAGGTCCTTTCCAACCCTAACCATTCTATGATTCTGTTGCATCTCCCAATGAATTACAGGCTTTAAATTTGCTTTCAGGTCTTTAGCTATCTAAAGCTTTTGGTGAAGTTTGGGTTGACTTCATCATCCTTCCATTTTTGCCACGGAAAGGAGAAAAAGTTCTCTTCCGTCTGAAGGTGCCCTGGAAGGCCACTTTTTTTTTTATAACGCTTGCCTGTAGGAAGTCCCAGTTTAATACTAGTACTTGCACTGAATGGAATGCATCCATCTTAAATGAACAGGAGGCTGATGGGTCCAGTATTTTTAGAGTTTGACCAAAATGTGGGGTTTGCATTTTTTCTTGGGTTTCCAAGCTGCAGTAAGGATTCCAAATTGCTTCACTTTAATAAGTGGATTTACTAAATACAGGGGCAGACCTCTGATCACGCTGAACCCAGAGGCAGGCCTGGCAAATTTTGGAGCTGCCTGTGTGCCAGTGTCCTTGTCCTTGATTAACAAGAGATAAGCTTCACATGGACAGCGGGCTGCTTGGTACACACATGGAAGAATCTCATGCAAGAACCTGTGGGTTTCCAGGGCTTTTTATAAAGGCTATGCCACCTCTTGCCTTGAGGTATCTCACCTTCCCACATGCACCATTCCACCCATTTGTCCATCCCTTATGCCTGAGGACCATGCGTTCATTTTGAGGCCCTACATTTTGAGGTCCAGTTTCATGGGAGGTAGAGGTCCAGCGGTCACTGCCAGCTAGGAGATGTCTGGGAGGAAGCACTGCTGCTCTAGGAGCTGCAGAACTGCTGCAAGAGGCACTGCTTGGCTGTCCCCGGGACTCCAAAGCCTTGCCAGTTTAGTGTGGGGTGGGTTCAGTGCTGCTTTGAAGAAGTAAATGTTTCATATGGATGTCAAAGAATGCAGAGTGAGTCCTGTAATGCTACCACTGCTTTGCGGGGAATATCACTGTTTTTTAATTAAGCTGCATAAACCAGGTGATCAAGCAGTGCGAATGCTATTTTGATGAGCAGATTGCGTTAGCGACGCAGGGAATACAGGTCTCTGCTTTTAACGATTTAAATTGGAAATAACTGCATGGAAGTCTGGGACCTCCTGAACAGAAATGATGAGAGTAGAGGATTTGCCACTTGCTTGGTGTCTGGGCTTTTAGTCATGTTACTTGTGAAGTAACTCTAGTAATATATTTAGAGAGTGAACTCTAAATTGGATCACCATTATTTAATGTTATGAAATTACCAGGTAGCATACCAGTATAATTTACAGATTCAGCAGCCACCAGTGCTGTTTCTAAAACTCATACTCCGTTATTTTCACTATTAGGTGCCTCATTTGGATGTGTTCTAGGCTATACAATTATTATAATGCTATTTGTATAGACACTACTTTTGAGACTGTTCAATTTAAGAAGATGAGGATGTGCTCTGCATGATAAAGATTGTAAGAGAGACATTCCAGTTTTATTATTTGTTACAAGTCTTAACTGAAATCTGAGACATTTGTTAAATGAAGGATTTATGTATTAACGAAAATATGGTTGTTAAAATTGATAGATGGAGTGGCTCATTTAACATTGATACCTGGACTGACATAGGAAATGGTGCTGTCTGAACATAAGCCATACATGTATCATAAATAGTTGCTAACCCATGATTTCTTGTATTTTAGTCTCTTTCAACATTCTGCCCAGTAGTTCTTTGTGGAAGTTTTTTGCACAGTACGGCCAGAGTTTTTTTAATGCAGCTTGTAACAGTTATTAGTCATTTTGCTTTGATTCAGAACTTTGTCTGAAATTTGTGTTGGATCACATCTAAGAGAAATAATCATTTGAAAGAATGCCTGTGCTTAGCCAGAGTGTACTATTTGTAGTTTTGTGAGAAACTTGACTGCTTTTATGTTAGCAACATGAAAACTGAAATTGACAAAAAACTTGAAGGAGGGTGTGTATTTTGTTAGTAAAATAACTCCCATTTTTCTGTCAGGCTTTGTAAGTACTGGAGCATTTGGAGATAAATTTAAGCAGCATTTATATGTAGATAGAAAAGGCAAGTGACCATCAACAGAACACATCTTGACTTTTGAAAATTAACCTTTACAGAGCCAGAGCTCACCTGAGGCATCATTCGTTACCACGGTTCATGCCAGTTTGTGGTGCTGCTCTGGTAACTTCCTCTTCAGACCATACTAGGTTTCCTGTGGCAGTCTTTCTACTTACCACAAGTGCTTTCGGAAGTGCAGAGGGTAAAACCCATTTAGAAGTGTTATGAGTTAGCACATTCACTTCTGCTGATTAAAAGGCAAGAAGCAAGGAGTAGTCTGTCTCTTAGCCTCATGGGGATGACTTGAAACCTGGCTGTGCAAAGTCCTTCCACGGCTACTTAAGTGACTTGGCTGAAAAACAACGAAGCCACCAAAGGTGCCTGTTAGTTAGAAATAAATTGTAAAAATGACATATTAATGAGCAGAACGCTTGAAGCTAGTATTCAAAAATAGTGATACAAAATGCAAGAATCACTAGATTAAAACCACAATGCTTTGTCTCCACAGAGGAGGTTTGCCTGGTATGTTTTTACCAGTATAGGTAGCTCAACAAAACCTTTATCTTTCCAAGGATTAATTAGATAAGCAGTTAAGAAGAATTTCCCTTATCCTTTATTTAACCATCAAATTCAAACACTACAAATTCATATTCTAGTCTGTGGCATCCCTGCCCATGGCTGGGGGGTTGGAACTAGATGATCTTAAGGTCCTTTCCAGCCCTAACTATTCTATGAGTCTATGACTCTATAAAACCCAAAATCTAACTTAAAATCAGATGCAAGGTTAGTACTGTTGAAATGTCAGATATGAGATTGCTTCCATTTTGATGGCTTCCAGAAATGCTTTAAATCTGAGGAAGGACAGTTCTTTGTGGATCTGATTTATAGACTGGTCAGAGCGTGAAAAAAAAAATGTCTGAAATCATGGAACTTTTCCTTTTTTGGATTTTTAAAGGTAAGCTCTTGATCTTGCATGTAGCCAATAAAAAATAAGCCTTAATCCTAGAAATTAAAGTTTATTATATGTAAATTCTTACTTGGACAGATAGTCTTCAGTTCATATTGGTGTCTTTGGTGATAGTCCCTGCATGAGTGAGATGTGCAGAATTAGGTCTTTTTGACCCAGCTTTCTTTGTATTCAGATTTATCAGGCAGGCTCTTCAGGGTACTTGGATCCTGCAATATTTTGTTTTGCTTTAAATAAAGCAAACAGAACCCAAATAGGTAGTACTTTGTTAATTTTTCAATTATGAAACAAAAGTACTGTGAAATTCAGTAAGTTTGTAGATAGCTGGATACAGTGGAGGGAAGGTGGTAGCATCTTCAATCCAAGCTCTTTTGTTTACTTCATTTTATCCAAGCTCAGCGGTGACTCATTACATGCCTTTGTTAACTGATTATTTCAGTGGGTGCAAGGTTGTATAAAAGTTAATCTAAAAAGTGAACACTAAGGCTAAGAAATGCTTTAAGGTTGTTGGAAGAGCCCAAAATTAGAGAGTTAGAAAGTTAGGGAGAGGAAGCAGAAAGGTGGAAAATAGAGCAGAGCAAGCATGGGTTCTCAACACAGTCGTTTTTAACAGATGTTTATGCAGTGTGGTTAAGCAGGAGCAGCTAACAGCCTTCTAACTGCATGAAGTCTGCACCTCTGATCTCTCTGCAAACTTC